CTGATTATATGATATAAATTTATTATTCGCTACTGGCAAATAATAAATTAATACAATAATAAAGTTAACAAACTTTCATTCTTTAGTGTCGATTCAGGCAAATTTAATTTTAATCTATATGACAAAAAATGTATCATTAACAGCCAATAAAATTTAACATGCTTGCTATTTATCGTAAATATTACTTCTACGTATGATAATTTTGTTTCAAATGACTGGACCATTATTGGACTAAACTACTTAAACAAATTATGAGTAGTCCTTGGCGTTGGAAAACACATTCCCTGGCTGATAATTTCCGGGTTCCTGGCTCCGGACAGTTAATGGTACTATATTTTACACGGTGTGATATTTTAACAATTAAAATTATACGTTATAACGATAACGATAATGAAAAATAGCATTTGATATATGCAGGGTCAAAACCTTGTGTTGGTTGACATTTCAAGCATAAATTAACGTAGAGATAGGCAGAATGTTAATTATTACGTAATGGTAACAGTAAATCTATAGTTATAATTCAGATGTCAAAGAACAATCAAGTTATTTTTCTGAATTTTACGCCTCTTCAATTTTTGTAATAACTAATTAACTATTCACATTTTCCATTTTAAAAAATTTGTAAAATCACGGGATGTGCACACAAACTTAATTATCATAAATGCATCGATGCTAAAACTAAGCATAGCCAGACTAATCTTCATCAAACATATATAGACCAAGCCCATCTAAGCCTTGAATTTCTTTTTAAAAAGATTTACACACAGAAATCATTACTAGTCACATCTTTTTGATATTTTCCGTTTCTGTTTTTGACCAGTAATTCATTATTTTCTACATTATCATAATTTTAGCGAAATTCGACAAATAAAAAAATTTCCCTTACCAAAAAAGAAAAAAAATCAAAAAAATAAATAAATGCTTCAACATTTTGTCAAACGTCTTGCCATTCTAAAGTTCAAAATTTGTCAATTCATCTCTCGCCTTTTCCCTTTTACTACAACCTCAACCACAAAAGTTGGAATTTCTCGATCCAACAACTATCAAATAAACACATTAACACCAAAGAATGAAAATCGGAAAACCACCACTACTAATAAGCATATTACTACTCATAAATTTCCTTGCCACATCTGTATGGGCCTTTCCCGTTCTACAAGGATCAACAAAACCGCCAGGGTTTCGCTCCATCGTCGTACAATCTCCAATAGAAGGAGATAAATACAATATTGGTTCTACCCGTATTATTAGGTGGAAAAGTTCATTGCCGGCTGATAGTGAGTTTAAAAACTAAAAGTCGTGAAATTTTGATTAATGATTATAATCGTTTTTTTTTTGTTTTTTTTTTTTTACTTTCATGCATAATAGCTGAAATCGTGATTGAAATAATAGCATCACCTATATATGATTTTAGCCCTCCAGAAATGGTTTGGAAAACAACTGCAGTAAGTTTCTTATAATAATTCCTAAACTGTACGTTAATCTCCTTTAAAATTTCTTATCTTTTTTTTTTTTTTTTAGAGGGTAAGTGATGGCCAAGTAAAATTTGTAGTTGGTCATTGGTCGCATTTAAACATATTTTTTGTAAAAGTTTATACTCAAGGTCATCCTAGAATAATTGGTACATCGAGTCATTTTACCATTTTTTCATTGCCTATTCCTACCTAATCTACCCCTGATTTAGTTAGTTTTGTTTAGTAATTTTAAATTCGGTAAATTGGATTGTTGCGTATGATAAAATTTGAAATAGGATTTTTGTTTTTTTTTTTTAACTGAATATAACATATTTATGTTAGGGGCCATATTTACCCATGTAAATAAATTGATGAATCCATCAGTATTTTGTAATATAATAATTAATTACAAGGTGACGATTTTTAGACAATAAATCGGATAAACTTGTCATTCTCACTGTAGAGAATCACCCTATCTATTTTGACAGAGCATTACATACATATAATAGATGAATATACCTGATGAAGATCTGGTAAATTTTTTTACTGATCTCATCTTGGATTTATTGTTTGCGCTTTAGCGCCTCTCAAGGCTTAATATTTGATTTTTACGTAGTAAGTTTTCAATTACAGGTTACAAGTACAGTATATCATATATACATGATCGACTATCTTAAGCGTGCATTTTCTAGCAATTTCAATAATTGTTCGAAGATTGGACAAAATGTGATTATTTCCACTTACATAACGTAATTATTTTACTTCTCAAGGACCAATTTACCGACTCATTTTTTTTTTTAATTTAAAAATTATTTAATTAAATTATAATTAGAACAGTTTTTTTAAGGTTTTAGGTAAAATTATCTTCCCTGTATTTTTTATTAATGTCCCGACTGCCGTTTCTTGTATTTTTTGTTTCCATCGGGTCGGGATTGGTTTATTCCAAATTTGAAAAATTGGTCCTTTTTGGGAATAACCAGATATAAACCAGCCAA